TTTCTGAATTGAATTGAGTTTGAAAATATCAGGTGGTATATGGCAATAGGCTCACCCCCTATTACATGGGACTTATAACATGAACAGTGAAAAGTGTTTCATTGTACAGTGGTATAATGTACCTACACCTCTGCCTACCTCTTCTGGGATAAAAGGCGTGATGTTATGTTATGATAAAACTCATTACTTATTAAATTATTAGATACCTACATGCTTCCCTACCTACGTAATATTTTTAATTTTTTTGTTATTTAAATCATTTTACTTATCTTTTTGCATTATGTACACTTTTAATACCTACCTATCAGCCTGATTAGCACTATGTATGAAATTAATCATAATACCGTAATGTTTTCGCGACTGGCTGCCACCTTGGGCGCGGTTTTATAAAATGGCGTTAATTACTTAATCACACGACATTTTGTGGCCGAAATATGGATGACATCCAGCTTTTTGGCTAACGTTGTCACAATCTTGATTTTGGTCATATTTTTAGTGAGTACGTAGGTAACTTAGCTAACTACTGACCTAATTTTTAAAGTACCTACCTACCTAAGACTTTTAATCACTATCACAAATAGTAGTATGTTTACTGGATAAATACTTAAATGATCGCAAAATATTAGGTAAGTATCTACCTACAAAGTATTAGGTACCTATGTCAAAATCATTTATTTTAATTAGACCAGCAAGGCACTTTTGAACGTCAACGTATTGCTGAAAATAATCGGGCACTGAGCTACTAATATTGGCCTAACTTTCGTTTAAACTGCAATTCTCTCTGCCTATTTCCTAAACAAATTAACTGCTACGCAAACACTATAAATGCCAAGCCTATAATTTCTATTTATCCACCCAAACAATCGAACAGCTACAACTTTCCTAACGCAATATCTTTATAGCTGAATAATTAGTGAGTTAATAAAGCAACGAGTTAATTTACATCACACAAGTCTTATTAAAACTTAACAAAGAGGAGAAACGTCAAGAAATCCGTGTTTAAACAAACATATGATCCAAGTACCGTATTAGCTCCACACTTCCTCAATTAACAAGTATACGGAGGCATACTAGAATATAATTACAACTGCAGTAAACGTGCTCCGTAAACAACTAACACTCGTTGGGTTTGACGCACCAAACGTTTATAATAACATCTTCTAAGAAACCTTTAGGTGGTCGCAAACATTAGCTTTGTTTGAGCGCCAATTTGGACTGGCCGAGCATTCACACTGGCAAACATAACTCTCTCTGCAAAACACGGTAAAATCACCCTTTTTTCTAGCTGCAGAAGAGTTAAAGCCTTGTCAAAGGAAAGCAGTATTCATGCTCTTAAATTTTAATTGCGAAACACAGCGGACGCACACGTCTTGTGTATTCGCGAATGTGTTAATTCAAAGCAATGCAGTATGCTTTTAATATGCACTTATATGGCGTGCACATTCCTTCACACTGAGTTTGCTGATAAAAGCTTACTTTTGTTCGAGATACAAAGACATGCTGTGACTCAATGCAAACAGTGGATGTGAAATGTGTTGCTTTTATTTTTTATCAGGCGGTCGGTACAACTAACTTGATAACTTTTATAATAATCTGAAGTTTATTTTACGCTTGTACATTTTAATAAGTTTTTCGGATCTTTCTGGAGATTTGATCTTAATTAGAGGTGTTAAATACCGATAAGTTCTCGACAACGACACGCGACGAATACCGAAATAGGTAATAAGCGAATAAAACAATGCTTTATTAAAACTTAATTATTTTTATTATTCACTTACAACTAAAATTTATTCTAATTGAACTGTGAAGTATATTCACAAAAGATCTTGTTACCCGGCTGAGTGGTTCATGGCTTTATATCCAGTAGTTCATTGAACAAGTATGCTATTTACAAAACCAACATTTCTAGACATTTTGGTTTCTTAGGTACCCACACATTATTATTAAACATGCAATTCATTCGAACAAGCGCTAAATAACAATGACAAGCTTAGGATGCAATTTATAAGTCTCAACATCTAAAAAGCAAAGAAGTTCTTTCGCACACTACATCATACCATATCAGATGTTTATTGTCATTATGATAATTTAATGCCTTAAGAATACCATGATTCGTGTGCGAAAGAGCTAACAATAATTGGGGCAATTGGAATCCTATGGATAAAGAGAAAAATTTCACAACACCACAACAATCTTGAAATGTCTTGCTCCTCAACATGGAAATTAATCATTCGTTGGAATCGTCAGTCAGTGTTCAGGAGTCCAATTTCACCCGTATCTTAAACTACACTGTCTGGATACAGCCATTTAGTATGATGTCAGCCGGGCATAGTCCACTTCTCATTTTGGTTTAGTTTCTTGGTCTGTCACATATCTAATGTAGATGGTATCTTCTGGTTTCGGGTCCTCTATTTGTGTCTCATCAAGTTGGGAACAAGCAATTGCTAGTGCGGATCCGTCGTGGGAGAAGCTTAGAGATGAGACGGCCGTATTGTATCTATGGAATTGACACAGCCTCTTCTTATTGAAACCATCCCAAATGTTGACGTAACCATCTGAGCCACCAGTTGCGAAAGTATTGTACACAGAATGGAAGCTGATTGCGTTTACTGGGTAGATTTTTTCTAAACCTGCAATAAAATTAATAATATTTATATCATGATAGATTTCATGCACCATACTATGCTCAAGCTCAATCTCTACTACTTTATAAAGAATGACTGTGACATAAATGCACAGTAAAAGTTTAACTTGATGAAACCTCAAAACTCAAGTGTGATTACAATATTAAAAATAATGCAAATCAATAACATTAACCTCCGTCCTTGATCCGATGACACTTGAAAGCATATTTCTTCTTCTGCACCTCAGGATTACTGTCTAGATACTCCACGGCCACCCTACCCTCGATGGAGCTGAGAACATAACCCTGTTTGTTAGGGAACACTCGGATACATCTGGTCTGGTACTTGAGAGAGGATTCCCGTCTTTGGTTTACATGTCCCATGTTCCTTACGTCCCATACGAAGATTTTGCGGCCAGATGTGCCCACCACAAACTTCTCGCCCACTATGCTCATTGTGTATACCTGGAAGGAAGTTGGTAAGTAATATAAAACAATGCTTGTTTTTCTTGAAAAAAATAATATTAAAACAGTACATAATATAATTTACCAGTGTTGCTAATAATTGACATAATTTTTATGAAAAGTACATACATTATATTGTAATAAACATTGACAATGTTTTGTTTGAATAAATAAGGACTTTATATAAAAATGTAGTGGCATCGCAAATATCTTACCCTTTCATTCCCCTGGTTATAAGTTCCAACACAGTTGGGCACACGGCTGTCCCACATTTTGACAGTGCCATCCCAACTGCCAGTGAGAACAGCATTCACTTCGGATGCAAACTCCACACATCGGATCGCACCTTTATGTTCCCCCAGTATAGTTTCCATACTTGCATTCAGATCGTACATTTTAAGAGTCTGATCTAACCCACCGCTGTATGTATGAACAGCATCCTGGAATGAAACAAACATAGTATTATTAACTTGTAAAACCATAAAAAATACATCAATACTTGTAAACGCGTAACCGCCACTGAATTAATTGATAACAACTACTGTTTCGACATCACAGCTAGTCTCTAAACTAACAAAAACAACTGAACACTTACCCGAAAACAGACGTCCAGGACAGGCAGTTCATGGTTGTATTTATGACGCTCCGTGTTCGATGTGACATCGTACAACCTTACAGAACAGTCCCATGAGGACACTAGCAAGAATTGATTGGATTTAGGAGCAAATTTAACGCTCGATATAGCATCGTCTGGTAAGCTCTTTAATTTAAACTCGGTGCGGGACTCCGCCACCCGCGTCACTGTCATTGTGGAAGCAATTTTGTTGGCTAATTTAAAATATCAAAAAAATAAAAGGTGATCTTCTTTTATGAAGAATAACACTGTTTTAATGAAAATATAGCGGGTTAACCGCAAAGGACTCCTGCCGTCAGCGACAAAGCAGATTAAAAATGACAATTGACTACGAGTCTGTGAGTTGCTTTGTCAGTTTGACACATGATTGACATAACACACGAGTCATGAGGTAAAACTAAACGTATCTTCTGCTATAAAAAGAAATAATAAAATAAAATAAACCCTTGTTTATTACTTTGATTTCGACACTGATTTTATTATTTATATTTAAACGGAGCAAATTGCTATTTTCTTCAAAAACACGACGTTACGATTTCGTTACCTTCTATCGTGCATAAGATACGACATAAATGTGAACGCAGCAAAATAATTAATAGTACACAATCCAGAATGAAATAAATATTTCTAAACAAATACTGTCAGAAACCTAACTAATCATTCACATTAATTTAATATTTTTAATCATTTTTTGGAGAAGCGTTACTGGAAAGCAATATAATAAATTTAATTTAAAACCGTAATTATAAAGTTTTGTACTCGGTACAATGGTCATATTATGAACGCAACTTTATAATTGACATGTTTGTGATGAGGTGTGAATCGTAGAAAGAAATCTCCGTCTCGCAGAAATGATTTCACAAAAATCCATAGTTCCATAAAGTTTTGTGATGTTCTATTTGTGCTGCATCAATACGAGTACACAATAATACGATAACAATATAACAGTGCCTCATTAAGTAATATAAATGAATATTAAACCACCGTGCAACTAAGTCGGTTCCGAAAGGAACGAATGGAGTGATCAACTTATGAAATAACGATGCAAACCAACTTGAAAACTAAAGAAATGTTTATAGTCAGAGCTTTAGAAAAGATATTGGCTGATAAGGACATAAAAAGGTCCTACCACAGTCAATTGAAAAAGTCGTGCGAAGTCGCTTTAGGTAAGACCTGCTGACATTTCCAGCTTTGGGTAACATAATAATGTTACATATTTCATAGAATATAATGTATGTATTTATCGTTTGTCACTAATTAAATTAGGATGTCCGATGCGATAGTTTTATTGTTATTGATAATTTATTAGATAGTGAATGTATTGACCTTGGTTTTAAAAGTCGAAACCTACTTTACGTTATCATAGATTCTTGTGAAGTGTTTTCGACACAGTATCGAGTCGAGGTGGGCAGTGGATCGAATGTCAGTGGTGTGTGTGAAACCAATAATGTGTATAATTTGTAGATGACCTACTATGCTTGTGTTTAGTATAAAATATGAAGAATGTTCACCAATAAATACCTGTTACTGATGTTGGGTGAGCTTAAATGTTGGTGTGAAGTCTTATAAGTACATACATTACATCATACCTACTTGTGATAACACATCACATCTTTAAGTATAGCAATACTAATTTGTTAAATGCATTGTTTATCAATTTGATTGTTCATTTCAATGTTTACTTATTTACAACATTGTTGAACTTAAACTAACCGCACAATATCAATCCTAAGCAAATCTAAAAATAGCAGATCTATAAAAAATATTGTCTAGTGTACACACCCACTGTCTATGTAGGAAATAACAATAGTATTTAACTACCTATATCCTAGTTGCCTATTCTGTGTGCCATTCAATAACACACTTAGTATGCATTCACGCTTCCTGTGTACTATGGTATTGTAAGTACTATATTATGTATATAGACACCAAACCTGCATGGCTTCATTTATATTTTAAGTGTACACCTAGTAGGAAACAGCGCCATTAAAAATTTATGCTAATCTAGCTTACATAACAGTATACATTGTATTGCGTTTATTTAGTTCTTTAGTGCATATTTTATTGGAATATTCCAAGCAATTTTATTGTAATTTACTATTTTATTACCACTTATTACTATTAGCATGATTGAAAAAGTTTGAAACTAATATTGTGACGAACATAATGAATTTACCCAGGTTTTAATTTCAGTTTTCCTTTTAATACTCAGTTTTATTATTTATGTTACTATGTAATATACATTTCAGTACATTTAGCTTTTAATTTAAAAAAACCCAACATTACAAAATAGGTACCTATATCTCCGATTGCCTTATCAAGGAATATGCAACGACAAATGATTTCTTTATAGATTTCTTAAACTTGAGAGATTTACCTAACATTCTGGTAAGAGAGTTAGCATCTCCGAGATACTACAGAATTGTATTCATTACACATAAAATTATAATCCTATTTTTTTCATTTGACTAATAGATTAAAATATTAAAAACTTTCCTAATACTTTAAGAAAGCCAAAAAGTTTGTTATAACTCCACACTGAACATAGATAGGCACGTTTGTTTATACAACTGAAAATGTGCTCTCTTGCCTTTTTATTTAGTGCTAAAATACTCAAATCCAGTTATTCTATGCTTTTAACCTCTACCCTAAAAAGGAGGTTGTATTTTCCTTTTAAGGAGGCTTATGTTTTAGAGGTCTTATATTGTGAAGGTCCTTTTCATATCAATAACGCTCTAATATATTTATTCATCTGTATAATGTTTAATTTATTGACATATTATTCGTTATAAGTAATTATGAGTTGAATATTTGTACAACACATTTTCTTATCCTGTTACACATCTATAATTATCATTTAAGAATTAGGGACATAGCCTGTTTCAGTTTCTGATAAGAACTTGTTAATAAATGTTTTTAATTTAATCTCAATACTCTTATTGTTGTAGCTATGCTACCCATTCAATAATTTTGTTTTTGTTTACAGAGGAAATCAAAACTGAATTGAAAAATGGAGGACAACCTGAGTCATCAGAAAGTCCTACATCAGGGACCTTACCACTACCCAAAAATGATGCTTCTAACATTATTACTGCAGAGAAATACTTCTTGCCATTTGAATTGGCATGTCAGAGTAAAGCATCCAGGATAGTAGTGACAGCCTTGGACTGCCTACAAAAACTTATTGCTTATGGGCACCTCACTGGTAACATTCCCGACTCAACAACTCCAAGGAAACTCCTAATTGACAGAATTGTGGAAACTATCTGCAGCTGTTTCACAGGACCACAAACAGACGAAGGAGTCCAACTGCAAATAATAAAAGCTCTACTAACAGTAATCACAAGTCAACATGTCGAAGTTCACGAAGGCACAGTTCTCCTCGCTGTTAGAACATGTTACAACATCTACCTTGCTAGTAAAAACCTCATCAATCAAACCACGGCGAGAGCAACCCTGACACAGATGCTTAATGTTATATTCACGAAAATGGAGAATCAGGCCCTAGAATCTGAAACGAATGACAATGGTAATAACCATGCTGTAACAGAAATATCACACAAAATGCCTAATGGCAATGTTGTGTCTGAAGAAACACCTAACAATGGAAGTGAAGAGGTGAAAGAAGGAGAAGAGACACAGCTCGAGGAAATCGACGAAGTATTAGAAGCTAAAATTATCGCTAAACAAATTGTAGATTCAGTTATAGATAATGCCATAAGTATTGCGTCTAAAAAAACATCTGAAGAAGATGTGACTAATACACCTGATAACAATGAAAATCCGTCTGATTCACAAGATAGTGGGAGTGTGTCACAAGAAAGCAATGGACAGGTGCCGACCGAAAACACTATGACAAGGATACCATCACAAGAAAGTGTGGATGTTGCATCAGAAAATGACAACTCGGTAACAGCAAAATTCACGCACGTATTACAAAAGGACGCTTTCCTAGTATTTAGAGCTCTATGCAAACTTTCAATGAAACCTCTACCCGAAGGAACTCCAGACCCTAAGTCACATGAGCTAAGATCTAAAATTCTGTCTCTTCACCTTCTATTATCTATCTTACAAAATGCTGGTCCAGTATTTAGGAACAATGAGATGTTCATTACAGCCATCAAGCAGTACCTTTGCGTAGCTCTTTCAAAGAATGGCGTCAGTTCTGTTCCAGAAGTATTTGAACTCTCCTTAGCTATCTTCTTAGCTCTATTGCAAAACTTCAAAGTACATCTAAAGAAGCAAATTGAAGTTTTCTTCAAAGAAATCTTTATGAACATTTTGGAGACATCAAGCTCATCCTTCGAGCATAAATGGATGGTGATACAAGCACTGACCAGAATTTGTGGAGATGCACAAAGCGTCGTTGACATCTATGTCAACTATGATTGTGATTTATCAGCAGCTAATTTATTCCAACGCTTGGTAAATGACGTTTCTAAGATCGCCCAAGGAAGGCAAGCTCTCGAATTAGGTGCCACGCCTAATCAAGAGAAATCCATGCGCATTCGTGGACTCGAATGCCTAGTTTCCATATTAAAATGCATGGTAGAATGGAGTAAAGAACTTTATATAAATCCTAATCTCCAAACAACTTTGGGAGAGAGAACTGCAAAAGAAGATCATGACCACCACAGTATGAAATCTCACGGAGGGTCTAGTCTAAGTCTAGTCTCAACAGGGTCCAGTAATATTGGTAACAGAGAGACATTGGATTCTCCTGAACAATTTGAGGTATTAAAACAACAGAAGGAAGTTTGGGAAACAGGAATTGATTTATTCAACCGGAAACCAAAACGTGGAATTTCCTTCTTACAAGAGCAAGGACTCCTGGGGGCGTCGACAAAAGACGTCGCTGAATGGCTGTTAACGGACGAAAGACTTGATAAAACATTTATTGGCGAGTATTTAGGCGAGAACGAGGATCATTCTCGGGAAGTTATGTACTCATACGTAGATTCAATGAATTTCGCCAACATGGATATTGTTGCTGCGTTACGTTATTTCTTAGAAGGATTTAGGCTTCCTGGTGAGGCCCAAAAGATCGACAGGTTAATGGAGAAGTTTGCGTCACGCTACTGTGAATGCAATCCGAACAACACGTTATTCACGAGCGCGGATACTGTGTACGTACTAGCGTTTTCCATAATAATGCTAACAACAGATTTACATTCGCCTCAAGTCAAGAATAAAATGACAAAAGAACAATATATCAAGATGAATAGTGGCATAAGTGACAACAACGACCTTCCACGTGAATATTTGTCACAGATATACGACGAAATCGCCGGTCACGAGATCAAGATGAAGAGTTCTTCTAAACCAGGAAAACATATGATCTCCAACGAGAAAAAGCGAAAGCTAATCTGGAACATGGAAATGGATTTAATATCGGCAGCCGCAAAGAACTTGATGGAATCTGTGTCACATGTTCAAACTCCATTTACGACCGCCAAGCACGTTGAGCACGTTCGTCCTATGTTTAAAATGGCTTGGACGCCCTTCCTTGCTGCGTTTTCAGTGGGTTTACAAGATTGTGATGACCCTGAAATTGCGTCACTTTGCTTAGACGGTATTAGGTGCGCCATCCGCATTGCGTGTATTTTCCACATGTCACTTGAAAGAGACGCGTACGTACAAGCTCTCGCGCGGTTCACTCTACTCACAGCGAACTCGCCCATCACAGAAATGAAGGCTAAGAACATTGACACCATAAAGACGCTGATTACTGTCGCACATACTGATGGTAACTACTTAGGAACGAGTTGGTTGGATGTCGTTAAATGCATTTCTCAGTTAGAACTGGCACAACTTATAGGAACTGGAGTGCGGCCGCAGTTCCTATCAGGATCTGGCATAAAACCTCAACCAGACTCGTTGAAGTTTAGTCTGATGTCATTAGATCCTAGCGTCAAAGAACACATTGGAGAGACAAGCTCTCAGAGTGTAGTCGTAGCAGTAGATAGAATATTCACAGGATCCACAAGACTTGATGGTGATGCCATTGTAGACTTCGTCAAAGCATTATGTCAAGTATCTTTGGATGAGCTGAGCCATCCAACTAACCCTCGAATGTTCTCACTGCAGAAGATAGTCGAAATTTCGTACTACAACATGGGTCGTATCAGGTTGCAGTGGTCTCGAATATGGCAAGTGCTGGGTGACCATTTCAACAAAGTGGGTTGCAGCAGTAACGAAGATATAGCATTCTTCGCAGTGGATTCCTTGAGACAACTATCAATGAAGTTTATCGAAAAAGGAGAGTTCGCAAATTTCAAATTCCAAAAGGACTTCTTGAGACCGTTTGAGCACATCATGAAGAAAAATAGCTCTCCTACTATTAGAGATATGGTAGTTCGTTGCATCGCACAGATGGTTAACTCTCAAGCATCCAATATCAAATCAGGTTGGAAAAATATATTTTCAGTATTCCATCTAGCTGCAAGCGATCAAGATGAAGCAATTGTTGACTTAGCATTCCAGACTACCGGCAAAATTATAAATGAATTATATGAAAAACAATTCCCAGCGATGATAGACTCCTTCCAAGATGCAGTGAAATGCCTATCAGAATTTGCATGTAATGCAAAGTTCCCCGACACTTCAATGGAGGCCATAAGACTAGTGAGGTCTTGTGCGACCGCGGTGGGCGCGTCACCGCAGCTGTTCGCGGAGCACGCGGGGCTTGAAGGCGAGCCAGGTGCTCCAGAAGTTGACAGAGTATGGTTAAGAGGATGGTTTCCTCTGCTCTTTTCGTTGTCGTGCGTCGTCAGTCGCTGCAAGCTCGACGTACGAACACGAGGACTCACGGTCCTATTCGAGATTATTAAAACTCATGGTGAATCATTCCGTCCACATTGGTGGAGAGACCTATTTAATATATTATTCAGAATCTTCGACAATATGAAGCTACCAGAGCATCAGTTGGAGAAGAACGAGTGGATGACTACAACCTGCAACCACGCGTTGTACGCCATCGTCGACGTCTTCACGCAATACTTTGACATTCTTGGTTCTCTACTGTTAGAGCAACTGTACGCGCAGCTGCACTGGTGCGTGCAGCAGGACAATGAACAGCTTGCACGCTCCGGCACCAACTGCTTGGAGAATCTAGTCATATCGAACGGAACAAAGTTCAACGAAGATACTTGGAGCAAAACATGTCAGATCATGTTGGACATCTTTAACAGCACACTGCCCACTACTTTGCTGACATGGAAACCTGATGACAACGATGAGAGCGACCAGCCTCAGGTCCGACACGGCATCTTAAAGAAACCCCAGGGAGGGGACGAAATCAAGTCATCCAACCGAGTATTCAACAGCCTCCTCATCAAATGCGTCGTACAGTTGGAGCTGATACAAACGATCGACAACATCGTCTTTTACCCCGCCACGTCGCGGAAAGAAGACGCCGAGACACTGGCACTAGCAGCCGCAGAGCTGACTGGCGGCACTCCCGGTACTGAGCAGGAATGTCAGCGTGAAGAACAAGGAATGTATAGATTGCTTAGTTCACCACATCTACTCCGACTAGTAGAATGCCTCATGTGCAGTCATCGCTTTGCTAAGACATTCAACACTAATAACACGCAAAGGAATGTGTTGTGGAAAGCTAATTTCAAGGGTTCGGTGAAGCCGAACATGTTGAAACAAGAGACGCAGTCGTTGGCGTGCGTGCTGCGGATACTGTTCAAGATGTACAGTGATGAGACGCGGCGGGACCACTGGCCTGCGGTACAGAAGAGTCTCATCACCATTTGTTGCGAAGCTTTAGAATACTTTGCTGGGGTGACGAGCGAAGCACACAGAGACGCGTGGACGTCCATACTGCTGTTGATTCTCACAAGAATACTGAAGATGCCTGACGAAAGAGTGAGTTAAAATCGTACATATGTACTTAGTAACACTTTATCGAAACAATAATGGAATTAGATTGTAGATGTTATCAGTTATCGTTATGATAATGATGGAAAGAATGTTTCGTATACGAATTTAATCTTTGATCCATCCTTTACTTATGCTGTAGTCATACTCTGTTTATTTTGCAATGAATAAGTAGCCAAGTATTTAATAATCATTCATTGATAAATTAATGGAGGGAATGAATTTCACAAAACTCCACTTCGAGTCACTGCACACCAATATGTTTACATCATTACTCTTTTGTTGCTTTGTTTGATAAGCAACAACATAACTAATGGCAATGGTACAAGATGTGCAAATACCTAACTAAAGGTTTTACCTTATGACTTTGTAGTCAATGTTAATAAATGTTACACGTGAATCAACATGGACTACATAAAGCACTGTATAAACTACAATTTCTTATTGCTTTCCATTTGTAAAGATAAAATGAATCCGTTGCTATACGATTTAGCATAAATTTTTTTAGTGTGTGCTTATCTCGCTAATAAAGCTGAATACAACTTAACGCGGATTAGTTATTATGTAGACAACAAGCCTGTTTAGTTTGATTGTCTGTACACTACTCCGTAATGAGATCATCACATGTAGGCGTAGGTACCTATAGCTATATGTGTCGGTATGCAAATAATAAGTCTGCGTTGTTTCAGTTTGCGGCTCACGTGTCGAGCTACTACCCGCTACTGTGTGAGATCACGTGCTTCGACCTGAAGCCCGAGCTGCGGTCGGTGCTCCGCCGAGTGTTCATACGCATCGGGCCCGTCTTCAACATCGTCACCAACACCCAATAACAACACAATGTTAACAAACAATATGGCCTTATAGTTCTCTAGGATAAAGTATGACTTTGATGTTAATGTTAAAAATAATACTTCGGTTGATTCCTTAAAATTTAATGTAATATTGACAGCAATCAGTACTTCAGTAGTATTAAAAGTGATCTATCATATTTTATAGGGTGTAGTAGTCTTATTTCTAATTTATATTATAAATTATTGATTTGATTATCAAGTTAAATTTTTAAATTGTATATTATAAAAGCATAGAAGTTGTATCTATAAATTATAATAGTTTATTCTGTATATTTGAAAGTTTTTACTGTCTGGGGAGCTGAATTCACTCACTGCTACTATTGCTTGGTATTCCTTCTAGCTAGACTGATCAGACTGTGATTGTGAACTTTTATTTTCTCACTGCTTTCCATGTTTTATCATTTTTCTTGGAGTGACTTCAGAACTCGCACGCAAACTGATTATTATATTATTATTCCTTAAAATAAAAATCATAAATTTAAAAAGAGTCTGATTTAAACAATCTTCAGTCCCTCAATGGACCTCTCCAAGGAGTCCAAGTCCCAGATGACCAGCTGTCCATCCAGTCCAGTGGTGCTGAACTTGTGGGTATTAGCCTTGGTACCTTCGAAAATACGGATGGAAGTGATGGCATTCTGGTGAATAGAATCCAAGAAAGTATCATTGGTTTCAATGCGTGCTTGGCGATCCAGAGACTGGAACTTCTTCATGGCAGATAGTCCACCAGACTCCTTTCTCTGAGTATTATCCAACTTGGCAACAAACTTAATCTGATCACCTTCATGGCAATACATTAGAGGAATGCAGCTATGTCCTGCCACAACCAGGGAGTTGTTGGTTACCCAACTGCACCCCAGGAAAGGCAAGTACTCAGTCTTCAATTTTATGATAGCTTTTCCTTGAGTAGCATCAGCTACATTTATGGAGCTATCATGTCCCACCCATGCAACTTTATTCCCATCTGCTGAGAAAGACACACTGTGCACCCATCCACCACCATTGGGTGAATTGGGGAATTCAGCCAACATTTGTCCCAAAGGAAGCTTGGTGCCCCAGACATTTGGTCCAGGCTGATCTTCAATATCCTTGATGTATGCAGAGTATACCCTCACTTTAAAGTCAGCTGAACCAGCAACCAACAGTATGTTGTTTGGGTGCCAGTCAATGCTGGTCACAGTTGAGCGAATTGGCTTCTTTATGTGCTTGGACACCCACCAGTTGTTTTCTTTTTCAAAATAACAGATAGAGATTAACCTGGCTCCTGAACCAACAGCAAACTTGTTCTCCATGGGTGACCATTTGACACAGGTGGCAGCCCGGTTGATACGCAGAAGGACAAGTGTTGTAGTCCACTTGCCATCATCTCCCTGGGTCCAGACATAAGCATTGCGGTCAACAGAGCAGGTGACAATGCGGTTGGTGTTTGGTGCCCAGTCAATGCCCATCACCTTCAAGTCATGCTCAACCAGGTTGTTTGTTTGCTTCCAATCATTTCCTTCCTTTTGATAGATATGGACTTCATTGTTGTTTGGAGAAAATGCAATTTCTGTAACGTAAAAATTAGGTATATTATTTACACATCCTTCTAAACACTCTGGGGGGTCTTTTGTTGAGAAGGGTGTTAATTATTGGCTGTAATTAAAAGGACTATAATTTAATCTAAAATATTATAACTTTACGAAATATATATTAAAATATAGAGATTACTTACGAGTTCTATCCTTGTTCCATGCATGACAAGTCACCGGTGCACATGAGTCACCGAATGTAAGAGTTTGGGACATCTTTCGTGAGCTGCAGAAACAAAAAGTTACATTTCAATATTTGTTAACGTTGTAAAATCTACTTAAATACGTTCAGTGTGTGAAATTTTACCTGGAATTCCAAAGCAAACGGGAAATCGGTCACACCCAACGATATCAGTTGTTGATAAGCGGATATTCGCGGACTCTGGGCAGTCGACACGAATTCCTGTAAATGTATACATGTTTAATATTCTGCGACAAAGAGTCAACAATGATTACAACACCAATTTCATTTCATTTTAGGGATTTTTACATCTATTTACCTATTTTCCTTCGAAAATGTAACGCAAACCACGAATCGAATAAATGAATCTGTCAGAATTGTATGTTGTCAGTGTCATAATATGTCACTGTCAGGAATTCACAGGAACTCAGCCAGCCAGTGCAGCCACTCCATCTGAAGATGATCTAGCGGTGAATCTGAAATTATCGCACAATGCTTTTTTCTCAAATTAATACTTTATTGTTATTATAAAAACTGCAAAGCTTTCATCGACAAAATACAAATTAATTTTTCCTCATCATCATGTTCCTATTCAATCCTAAAATTGTACTTTAATCCTATCTTTATTCTTTCGTGCTGTGAATGTGATAGAATTTGACATCCTTAATAATGTCACTGACTGTCACTGTCACTAGAGACAATGACAGCAAAATATAAATAAAAATATTCGAGCACGGTTGCAATTGTATATGACCGCGCACATAATTATTTTATCGTAATTAAATAATAAGGATAAAGCAAAGGAAGGCTTTACGAAAGTAAACAACGTGCATTTGACTCTATCACAAGTATTAAGAATGCCGGGGCCAGCAGGTTTGTAAGTTTTTATACGAAATTAAAACCAAAAAGTATTGATTAAAGTTCACATGTTTTTGCTAATTAAAATTAATAAATCATTTCATGTTAACCGTCTTATGTTCAGGAAAACATTACCGTGGAAATCGCAAAACTTCAAATCAGACCCATACGCTTGCCTCGGTGGCTAGAGAAACGGCTACTTCTCTGCCGGCAGACAGTCCCGTGCTCGCAATATTCAAAGATGCTGCTCGCAAGTTGAATGAACGCCAGGACAGGCACGAGCGGCTCGTCAAGCTCTCGCGTGACGTCACTATTGAAAGCAAAAGAATTATATTCTTATTGCATTCTCCTATAACGTAAGTAACATATATTTGAACTACGCTAACTTACAGAATATAAATAGGTCTTTAGTTTAATTTCTTACACATGCACACATTTTGGAAAACGCACCTAGCTTCACTGATAAACAGACTGACACACTATCAATTGTTTTATATTTGCTGCTGTTTCAAAAGTACTAAAATTTAGTTTGATGATGAGATGAGATGCTTTCATTTTGATACATAAGATTATATTTTTAATTAAACTTAGTTTATTCTATATTCAGAAAAGAGTCATCAGAAAATACCCTTACTGAAGCTAAGGATCGGATGCAAAAGCTGATCAATGGACCAATCAGAAGCATTGGTTTGGAGTTGGAGAACAGTCCAGCTCACTTACACGGCAGAGCTGTCACTGCCGGGTTCCAGGAGTTCATAGAGGCTAGGACTCTACTGTCTCTGATGGCTGACAAAAGAATCATTACTTACCCAGAAGTACAGAAGGAATTGGAGTATGAAATCAAAGATGATGATGATGCTGATGTTGACAATCAGAGGTCTTTAGTAACAATGTTACCTGAGTCTGATTATATGCTGGGTCTTGCTGACCTGACTGGAGAGCTGATGAGGAAGGCCATCAACAGCATATCTAGTGGAGACAGTGAGGAATGCTACCAAGCTTGTCAAGTTGTCAGGCATTTGTATACTGGATACTTGGGTAAGACATCAAATGTATTATTTGATTTTCCTTCGAAGATAAAAGAAAGGTATGTAATAAGCCTAGCCATGTGCTGATTATAAAAATTAGGCCATACTCATGAGCCCCAATTTGGCAGCATTTTAGAAACATATATAATTATTGTACTTCTATTTTTCAAATTACCTATGTTCTGCTACCTATCTCTCAAGCTCAAAATAAGAATAATTTATTTGTGTACACTCCACTTATAATTTGTTTTTTTATTTTTGTAAATGTATGCACTAATTAATGCAAAAATTACTGCTAAAAATAAAATATCTTCTGCTAATTTATTTCAGGCATAACAGGCAGTCGTCTCTTAGTCCGTAAGCTGTCGACAACTCGCGCCAACGTTAACAAAGTTGAGATGGCGGTATATGCTCTCAAAGTGCGCGGTGGAGAGACACCAGCACCATTACTGTTACCCGCCGCACCTGCAGAGTGGGAGCCACCAATCAACTTATCAGACGATGAAGGATATTATTAGGCTGTATTACGACCCAGCATTTGTATATAGACTGAATGAAAAGCCTGATTCAGATCTATTTTAGTAAATAAGTATTAGAACTTTTAATATTTCTCATGAAAAGTTCCACAGTGGGAAGTCTTTACTTGAGCTAGTAACTAGTAATACCATGTTCATCTCATTCACATTTTGTTTATTCAATGTTTTAAACTTTTTCTTATAACTTATCAAATACGTTGTTATCGCCTGATAGCCTGGTGTCTAGAGTTTATATTAGAATATAAGCTTCAATAGACAGTTTATTAATATGCAATTAGATTTTCATTCTCAATCCCAAATGGAAAACAACAGAAACTTCTTTGGAAAAATAACATTTATTGAGGTAATGCTTAACTAAAAATCTTGAGAGTAATCTCCACTGTCTGGTACATCACTGGGAGGTTGCCACTCATCGGATTCATCTGTTCCATACGGATCTTCTTCATCTGACTCAGAGTCGCCCCAACTTTGTCTATTTACAGTTTTTCGGCTCCTCTTTCCTACCACTATGAGATTATCAACAGGAGAATCTTCATCACTTAAAGATACTCTCCTTTGCCTCCTTTTCCTTTGTTTACCTGGTTAAAATGATATCACTTGAAAACAGTATATTTCTTTTCATTATTCATATTATATTAAACATAATTAAAATTTTATTTGTATATTTTTTGGAATTCATTCATTTAAAACTCATAATCGTAATCGACGCTGTCACCATCTGAATCTTCCGTTTCAAAATGGTCGTCGTAAAAGTTAACTGTGTGTGCATTTATGTAGTAGATGTTACCGTGACGTTCTACTCTTCGCATACCTGTTGGATGTAAGAAAAATATAAATTAGTACAAATATCTTAGAAATCAAATGACAAATTTGGAAGATTACTAATGAAAAATAAAAGTAACAGTAGCCGATTAAGCGCGTGCGGGCCCACAGCATTTTTAGACTTGCTTCTTATAAGTCTTTGTACAAGGTAGAGGAGAGGTTAGATATCTGGTAACAATTTTAACTTTAGGTACAGGGTTTAATACGGTACTGAATTACTTTTTGCCTATAGATATAGTGTGCTATGCTATATTGACTATTTATTGGCATTGCGGTGCACACGTTTGGCGGTAATCTATAATTTAAACATCATGTAGAAGGCATTTTTTGATCATTTAGCTTGAGTATAATAACATGAAATATATAGTGGTAGTTGACAATACCTATTAACACGGTAATAATATCATACAGTACAGTACTCCAACTTCATATAAATGGACGAAACGCGAGGAATACCTACGCGGCTCGATGTCAGGGTGCGCTCGGGGCGCAGATATACCAGAGTGACGCACGGAGGGTGTGTTGTTTTTTTAACAGTAACCGCGCGATTTTTTTTTTTATTTAATATGACGAGTAGGAAATATTGTGTACAAAAATCAACACGCATTTTTATTGAACACTTCCTATTCAATATACAAAGTATTTTATTTGTTTATATAAAAAATGGATATTAACAATCACAAAACTAAATAGAAACAGGAAGTAGGCAAATGTAATTAAAATGCTGGAGACAGCATCCAAACGCATGTTTAAGTACCGCGCGGCTGTAGGTAGGTATTTAATTATATCATGCGGCTGAGTTACAGTTCTGTATGTATGATAATATTACCACGCTGTTAGCGCCATAGGTTTGGAGGTATTTTTAATTTTTAAGTGAAAATACACCGTTAAATTTGAATCGTTTTAATCCCTTGGAGGTTCGAACTGGTCCATGAAACACTATCGATTTGTAAAGATAAAATTAAAAAATAAAGTACTTTTTTTTAATAACTCGAATCAATTCTCGCATGAGTGAATAAATAATGCGAACCGTTAGTAGGCAGCATTCCTATCAGTAACAACCTAACAACATTGACGCGGTCGCTAGTCAACGTGGACTCGCAAACATCAGTTGATCGAGTCAATAGCCGCCGTGTAGGTACCTACACTGCCCGACCGTCGACGATACGCAACGACCGACGACGACGTAGGTAACTATCTCGTGGCGCAACTTTTGGTTTCATACATTTTGCGAGTATAATCTTATCATTTGCTAATTTATTTATTTTTTATGTTACACCGCAATACAAGCTTGTAATGAGTAGTATTCTGTTAGTTAAACCACAGGTCCATGGGATTAGAACGACTAAAATTTAACGGTGTATATGAAAAGATCACAACTTAAATTAACTTTAAATGGTGATACAATGATCTAGTATTTTTAATGATGTGATGTTAATTATTTACATTCCTATGTTTAGTAGGTGATCGAGCAACCAAGGTTAAAAGAGAACCATATTGAAGTGGAAATGCAAATAAAAATAAGAACTTAAAAACATGCCATACCATGATGTTTAGAAAAGCTTTAAATTCCGCCGTCGCGTGCAGACGCCTTACCAGTATACTGTGGCTAGTCTAAGATTTGAGATGGCTAAGTGTGTGGACCTGGCGGGTGGGGGCGCGGCGCGGGCGGGGCGGCGCCGGCGGGGTGCGAGTGCAGGCGCCAGTGGCGCGGGTCGCGGCGCCCGCAGCCGCTGCCGTACGGACACGCTGTCTGCTCGCCGGAGCCCCAGTCCGAGTCATTCGGGTGACAGAAGTCCTCACGATGCTGGGGGTTCCGTCTGCAAGAATAACACATGTTTTAAATCCGAATTAACTGAATATATGAGCATTATTTTATTTTAACCACCGTTAAGGCAATTCTACTAATACTACCTGCTGATCTTTATAATATTTTGAGTACCATTATTTACGGAATAATACTATTATTTATGAGCAAACCTACGCCAGATAAGCTACGATTGCACATGATGGATTAAAAATAAAGTTACTAAAACAGGAAACAATTATTTTTATGCCACGCCTTGATACCTTATCTGTATCAGTGTTGCTGTGGGACATGTGTATGGAAGCAAACTTCACTCATCTCAAACTCATCCAATAAAGTTAGACCTTTATATCCTACATAACATTATGTATTCTACTATGTCTTCAAGTCCCGAATGGATAGGTTGCTCATATGTAGGCGTGCTCCTTGGTCGGCCACATCACCGCACAAAAAAGTAATACAAATAGCTTACCTATAACAATTGGCTCCATAAAAGCATCTCTCTCGTAACCGCACTGTAGGTTTCACAGGTGATGTGGGTGCAGCATTATTGCCACTTTGGTCATTATTTGATGTACCCTGTAATATATTACCGATGATAACATAGTACTGTGAAAAGAACTTAAGAGATAATGTTATTTTGGTGATTAGATAATGTGTAAATAATCATGTCAAAGAATTTTAATGAACTGGCGGAATAACAATAAAAAATATATAATTTAAACTGTCAAACACCGCGAGGACACCGGTGACCGCAACCTATTGTTCTTTAATTGTGTCTATAATGATGTTACTCAACGAGTTAAACTATTACAATTAATTCTTTTGAATCTCAGAGCTGACACTGGTGTCCTCTCTCTACTCACTTCATTATAGGCCTTATTTCCTTTTGATTAGAGACTACTTTTGTATAAACAAAAGGAGAACTTTCATACATTCATTTTTTTGTGAATTTATTTATTTATGTATTAAAGCTTCATGCACAAAGTGTACATAAGGTGGACTTAATACTGCAGGCATTTTCCTGACCTTTGGGTGATGCAGAGAAGAGTTAATGGTGTGAGCAAGAAGCAAGCAACTATTTAATAGAGCAAATTGAAGATACACTTACATATTTCAGGGATAAACATAAATAAACATAATTATAATATATATAGCTACACATGAGTACAATACAATATACCTACATGCATACATACATACCTCTATATACAAACATACATAATATATAAATATGAACATAATTACTAATAGACTGTAAGTAATCAGCGTGATGATTCAGCCAACCTCTCCAAGAGAAGGTCACATACTTTCTGGTAAAATGATTTAGTGGATAATAAAAACTCACAGGTTGAACATCACTCGGACTTGCCGCATTTCCAGTGTTAGGATCAACCCTTGCATTGGAACTCTCTGTAGGCTCAACTTTGACAGTGGCATTGCCTGATGTTACATCAGCATTTTGTACCGCAGGCTCAACCTGAACATTACTTGTGTCCATAGGTTCTGTTTTCACAATACTACTGTCCACTGGCTCAGTTTTAACTTTCTTAACATCCACAGGACTAGTATCCATAGAAGTGTTGTTCCGTTTAGTTGGAGTCACCGCATTATCTACTAAAGGCACTTGAGGTGAAATTCCATTGATGTCTGTTTTGTTTGGTGCAGTATCAGTATGTTGATTAGATTGTGGATCATTATCCTCACCTGGAACCAATTTTATTATTATTAATAATTTTACTTTTTTAGTACCTACTTTTAATGTGGTTGTCATATGGAACCCCTTTTATAGAAGAAATATATATTTCTGATTATCAATTTAAACCAATATAACAATGAAGATAAATAAAAAAAATTTCTTTTAAAACATTATCACGTTTTTTTTATCACGATTGAAGACATTTAACTACACTTACTTATTGATGTGCGAACCTCGTTATCTGTAGAAGTTCCATTTGGTACAAGTACTGTCTCATCTTTGTCACTTTCATTTGAATCTTCATCAGGTAACTGTTGCACTTCATACCAAAAAACTTCTGGTAGCAGTCCAAACTTGTTACCATGAGTGAGTTCTACTGAACAATCCTGTTTCAATACATGTATTTCTTTGCCTTCTTTAATGTAGAAACATGGATTTTTGTGTAACTGAAAATTTAAATATATTACATAAAATTATATAGCTTTTAATCAAATAAATAGTGCACGGGAATATTTCATTTGCATACTGATTTAAGGGTGAGAGTAGTTGCGGTCACTTCCAGCTGAGCATGGTTACGTGATATTCTTAAATCCTCTTCAATCTGTAACAAAAATATTAAAATAATTTATTTTATTATCACAATATCCTAAAACCAACTTCAAAATGGTTATGAATAATCGGTGACTCATAGGGCCATATTCCCGTTTATTATAATTTCCCAACTATGTATTATATGTTATATGTACTGGCGAAATGAAGCATCGTATTCTAAATTCTAATGATTTTTATTCAGTGAATATTTAGCTAACCAGGGGTATATAATAAATTATACAAGCTCAAACTTGTTCGAAAAGGATCGCCCAACGGTTCAAGGTTTTCTGCTAGGTGCATGTTTATTGTTCATTTCATTAGATGTAAAACATTAAAAATAAAGGTATTTCATCTATTATCCAAGGGTTTTAGGACTTGACGTATTCCAGGACCTAGATTTTATACTGGTTATGAGAAATTAACGTAATAATTAGTCATAAAAACTTACTTTAAAGTGGCTTCTACCAATCGTAAATACACCAAACGGAAGTTTTATTTTGTAATTATTATCTGTATCAGTTCGCACTACTTTGAAAATCATGGTAATAGTCGAAAAAAAAACGAGAAGAACAGCTAATAGTTAATGGAATTAATTAATATTCACCACAATATCATAATCTTTAAACGTGTGTTGTGTGATAAATCTGTCTTTCGCTTTCGCATTCGCAATCTTTTTGTACATGTACTGTTGACGTTTGAAAATTGACATTCACATCACAACATCAAATTCAAGCCTATCCTCGGTTGCCACTCATGAAAAAAAAGTGCCTTTTACCCTTCGAAATAGTTAGAACCAGTTATAACTACAAAACTAAAACTTAAACTTGATTCAAGTTACAATATTTACTCGTTGCGTTAGAAACGAATTTCATATCAACGGTTTTTAACCGAAGGAACGAAAACTGTAATGTTATTGCATCATGAGACTGTCGATGTCGATGAGTTAACTAAACGTAGTTTTCATTTCATAAATGTCAAAATTCTAAGAAAAGAAAATAAATAATCGAAATATTTTACTCAGTTTTGTCGATATTAGCTTACCAAAATTCAATATGATTAAAAATACAGTGACAGGGGCTCATAGGCCACTATCAGGTCAGTTATACAAATACACTAATGTTGTAAAAGGCTGGCAGCAGCGCTGGTTTGCAGTAGATCCCGAAACAGGAGTTTTATCGTATTATCTTTTCGATGGGCCCGGAGATACTATTCAGCCAGGACAACCAGCCAGAGGCGAGGTAAGACATTCCAGTGTTTACTGTACATCCAATCAATAACACATTTAACTACCTACTACATTTAGCTTTCAAAAAATGTTAGTTCTTAAACCAGTTTCAGTTCATATACTAGTCCATGAACCAGGTTTTATTTTGAACCATGGGTAAACCTGTTATTCAAATAGTGATGTTCAATCACAAAATAATGCTTAACTTTTTGAAGTAAGTTTCTACATTCCTTACCTAGATGATTGTAAAGTGTTCTGCAAAAATGTTGGGTTTTTATTCCAGGCTCATTTAGCTGCTGCTGTGATATGTCCAAGTGATGAAGACTCCCGTACCTTCACTATAAACTGTGCTTCCGGAGATATGCTCAAGCTGAGGGCCACTGATGCTAGAGCTAGGCAGGAATGGGTCAATGGGCTGAGGGCTATAGCTGAAATACACACTAAGGTAATTCTATTGAAAATACTTACAATAATTTATTTACTGCATGTTACAAACATCCAAAATACTTCATTATCAGCCACAAGATATCCACTGCTCATTGTAGGCCTCCCCTATTAGATATTCTAACTGAAAGCAACCTGTATCCAAATCCATATTATTATATCTATAATACTTTTTTAATTAAGTTCTATAATACTCTCAACCATAGCTACTCAAAGACGTATTTGCCAGTAATTGCCAATAATTTGTCTATTCTGTCTTTCAGGCTATGGGCGCTAACCCTCCCCTGCAGCCCAGAGAGCAGCTGGCTGTGCATGATGCCATGGCTTCTGCTAGGAACCAGTTACAGGCAACAGAACTCAGGTAGCTTCATTATTATTTTTTAATTAACAGTGGCCCATACCTTGTCCCCCATGGCGTTCAAGGTGTTAAGGACTTGATTTGAAGCAAAATGATCAAAGTATATATTTAGTTCTATACATATATTTGTTATAAAATCTTGGTTCTACCTAAGTTTCTTATAAATTCATTAAACTGCACATTGGCAAACCTAGTTTAGTTGGCAATGTTATCAATCCAAAGTTTATAAATATGCATTGTATCTTATCTATTAGTACTAAAGATAAATAAGGAATAAAAATTCAAAAGGAAATATTGACATGGACTTCTTGCATTATAAAAAGTGTTATTTCTATTTTCTAGTGATGCAGCTCTGGCAAGATGCATAGAATCGGCCGACTCACCATTCCCACACACAGATCCTGACTTATTACTGTTAAAAGTAAGTTTGTGACTAAGGCTGTACTAATTTCTTTTGTTATAACAACTCGTGATAGATTCTCTATCAGTCAATGAAGACTGTTATTTTTCCAATTAACCCGTTGAAATCCACCCCCTAAATTTGGTCATACAAAAGTAGTCTCTAAACATTACAAATAAGGTCTATAATGTAATGTAATATTAGTGGAAAGCGGTCACTGGTGACCGCTTGGTGATTTATGGGTTAAGTAAGTCTTTGTTCACCAAAATATTAATATTTTTCCTCATAAATATGAGGGTTGAGGGTGTACAAAATTGGAAACCTGGTTATCTGCATTAATTCTAACAAATAATATTAGAATCTTTGTACCTACTGAATAAATATGAATCCTCATCAATTGAATATAATTTTTTTCAGGCTACCTCTGCCGCCAGCATGCAGTGCTTGCTCCAATGTCTTGGCATTCTCCATCGACAGCAACAGTACACCACAGTGAGTGTCTCCAGCAAACACTCAGATGACCACCACTAGTATTGACTACTGATACTACTGTTGATACACTGTGGGCTAATACATTCCATGTTCTGAGAATAAAAGAACTATGTGATAACTTATGGTTGCTGAGAAGTCTTCAATAGACAAGGCTTTGATTAAGATCTTGTAGAAAAGTGTTGTAAGCTATGCACTGTGGGGTTTCATTTAATACTTTTGACTTGTAAACAGCTGTTTAAGTTAGTGTATGTGTTGTATAGGAGGCTGTAAATTGTAATACATGAACTACTGTGTATTGTCCCACATTGTATGGTTAATTTGTAGCTTAAAATAAAAAGACAAACATTGTTGACATATCCTAATGTTTTCCTTGTAGTTATACTCCATTGGTGTTATGTAAATTGTAAATATTTTATCTAATAAAAATAGTTGATCTTTCTTAACTATTGTAATTTTTAGATTTACACTTAGGTGTAAATTCAGTTTTAATCCAAGATATGTTTTATGATTTTATTTATAAATAACTATGGTTAATTTATACGTACTTTTTAGGAAAAAAATAGTAGTAGTGGCTACTAAATAAAAGTCTTCTCATTATTTATAGCTTTGGTTTAAATTCATCCCTTATTTGATAATTATAGGAAGACTAGTCACTATACTATGTGTAAAATGGTCGCCAATCGGTAAAATGTTATTCTCTCATAAGATTATCATTTATGTTATATCGTTTATCAGAAACCATATTTTTTGAGCTAGTGTTCCTAAAAATACCGCATTGCAGTATGGTTTATTCCCTGAACACAAGTAATTAAAGATTACTGGAATTCTTTCTGGCTTAGTGCCAACTTATAATATTCCTAATTTGTGTGTTACGTAATGTACCCATTATGGTAAGAAAAAATACTTATGAGTTTTGATATCTAAAATCAATCTCTATGTTTTATGGCTCATGGATTGTTTGTAGTCTTTTGTTCTAGTTTTTTATGTCAATTCGTGAAAGCGAATTATTTTACAATTTATTAAACACATTTTTCCCCTTATTTTTTATAAATCAAAATGTGTGACCAAGAATTTAGAACACAACGCATCGACCCACGCTATCCAAATCAAAATCAAACCAAGTGAGTCAAAACAATTGCCTTTATAAAATTAGTTTGGTTTTATATTGGTCATGTATTGCCTTGTCATATTTTTATCAATTTCTTGCCAACTCAGACATTTTATGGATGTACTAACATTTCAGGGCTTGTTACGACAATTACTGCGACTTTTACAAGTGCCAAAGACTTCTAGGTGAAGCAGACGACTGCAAAATATTCAAGCGTTATTTCGAGACAATTTGCCCGAATTCTTGGATATCCCATTGGGACGATCTTAGAGAGAAAGGAGCATTCCCAGGTCCAATATAAAACAACATTATTGTTTTCTTGAAATAAAACACTTTCAATACATGGCTCCCTTTAATCCCAGTGAGAACAAGTTCGCAATGCGCAAAGTATTTTGCTACATGTGATTGTATTATCTAATAGGTACTTAAACGGTGTGTAGTTTTCATGAAAAGAAACATTCAGAACCTGTTGGGTTATTTGGTAAATTATAATACAAAAATGGAATCAACACATATATTCCCTAAATCACATAATTGGGCCTAAGTAAAAATAAAACTCGCATAAATTAACAAGTCTGCGGCGACCAGTGGAATACTTTAAATCCTTCCAGCGAAAGTGCCCTCAGCGCGTTGGGAGTCCCACTTCTCAACCCATTCATTGGGGCACAGAGATTTGAAGCACCGCTGGAAGTAGTAGCATGGCTCGTACTTCTCCCCACGTACCTTCTGGCAACGGTGGAAGTCCAGGTAGCTGGAGTAGCAGTACCTGCAAAATAGGATTTACTGTTGTGATAGGTAGCCAAACAAAATATTCGTTTTGACATTTACCAACCCCACGTCGTAGTCGGAGTGTTAATGCCCTTGTTTACAAGTACCATGCGTGGGCCAAGTATTCAAGTGCTGATAACATATCAACACTGGTATCTGATTAAAATAAATTTTAATGGGCCATTGATGCTCGGCGTTAAACTATAGACAACCATACTTATTTAGCCAGAGTAAAATTCGAAGACATAGGTGATTTACTGTTTGTAATGTATAGGAATTATCGTACTTACAGTTGATAACAGTTGCGTGTACTAAAGAGTCTCTGGATGCACTCCTCTTTGACCAAATTTACGAAATTATAGACTACCTTATGCTTTTTACTCACACACAACAAAATTTTGTTGTACTGCAGAAGTGGTGGTAGCCCCCAGAGAAAGCATTGGACACGCATCACAAAATAATCAAGCTTATGTTACCTTGTCTGGTTCTGGTTAGGGAACCGCGGGTCGAAAGGTGCAGTTTTGATGTCGGCGGGCGATTTGATCATCTCAGGCATGATGCTGCAACGAAACACAACCTAGTCATTGAAATAATTCTTTATTTGGAATATTTTTTATAATAAACGTAAGATTAAATGGTATCTAGACATACTAATACAATAAACACTGTTATAGAGTAAAATAAAAATTGTTAATATAATATTGTAAAATACATTGCAGAGGTCACAATAAAAACCTTAATTCTAATCTAAAATTAGTAAGTTTATTTCACAAGAGGTCTTGTCTTCCTTTCTTCTTCACATGAAGTTTCTCTATACTTCTTCACTTCCTGCATGTACAGAGACCATGCATCCTTAGGGGCGTTGTCTGCAGTTTGTTCATCTATAGCTTTAGCCTTTTTCACTAATCCAGTCTTTAGGACCCTCCCACCTCGACGCTTCCCAATAAAAGGCAATATTGGCTTTTTAATTTCAGGCTTTTTTTCCGGTTCAGCCTTTTTGGTCACCTCCTGCATCTTTTTGAACATTTCCAAGAAACTTCCATCATTCTTTATAGGAATTGGAACTGGCTTGGATTTTGATGTTGAAGCTTGCATAACTTGATCAGGGATCAATAGTTCTGCAAAATTAGGTCCTTCAACTTCAGGAGGGTCACCATATTCAATATCATCAACAGTTGTTGATTCTACAGCACCTGGGGGAGGTTTCACTTCTTTGGGTGGGGTTTTAGCTTCTTTCACTTTATCCTTTTCTTCTTGTCTATTTCTATGCATTTTCCAGAAACGCTTTCTATCTGCCACTGTAAACTGTCCACGGCGCTCGTCATCTGTTGGCGTACCAGAGCGACTGCGTGAACAAGAACTATTAGATCTGGAACGAGACTTGGAACCTCTTGGACTAACTGAACGATTTCCTTTCCCCCTTGACTTAGATCGGCGTTGTGAACTCGATCTTCTTTTGCTCGCTGAACGTCGTTTAGAACGACTTTTCGATCGCGACTTTCGTTTTGTCTTCCTTCTAGACTTGGATGGTGACCTACGCTGAGGGGTCGATGACCTTGACCTACTAAAGGAGCGAGATCTCGAAAGGCGTGAGCTTCTGGAACGTGATCGTTTACGTTTCGAACGTCGCGGGGAGTGAGAAGGCGTCCGCGACGCCGATCTAGATCGCGATTTAGAACTAGACAACATTCTTCTGCTATAAGTTTTGGGTGGAGTTAAAGAACTGTCTCTTCCCTTTTGGACTGGAGTAAGAGATCTTTCTTTGTATTTCTTATTAGTTTTAGTTGGGGGCGGTGATGGTGTGAGTGAGGACCTTTTGGACTTTTTATGAGATACTTTGGAATCTTTCTTTAATTTCCGTGGCGGTGTAGAAACCTTTCTAGCTTTCCTGGAATGAGATTTAGATTCCTTATTTTTCTTTTCACCCTCTGGTGATGATCTGCTTAATCTATCATGACTTGGTGTTCTTTGTACTTCTGATCCATTACGAGAGCTTGAGGAGCTCCTGTTTCTTGACAATGACTTATCACGTCCATGAGCTTTGACAGATTTTTTCCTATAAGATCTGTCAGAACCAGAAGAATTGGACGAAACTGATTTCCGTTTCTTTTCTCTTTTTTTAGGGGAACGAGAGTATGAATGGGAGCGGGAGCTTGAACGTTCACTAGAAGAATACTTCTTACGTTTTGTTGATTTGCTCCTAGATCTACGACGATGGCTATCCTCATAGCTGCTGTCCCGTTTCTTTGAATAGTCTCTCTCTCTCCTCTCATAAGGAGAAACACTTCGAGACTTAGTATGATAAGATCTTCTGCGCTCATATCTATGGGAGGCATTAGGCGAACGACTTCTGTCACGTTGTCGAGCAGGGTAATCGTAGGCAGTGTGCTGCTGCTGTTGTTGTGGTGGTGGGTATGTCCTAGATTCAGGATACTTTCCGTAATAGGTGCCGTCAGCACGCTGATAATAGTTAGAGTCGTAATTGTAGCTGTAACCAGGCGCATACGCCTGGTAGTCGTAGGGCGGCGCGCCGTACTGGCTGTAGCTGACCCCGGTCCAGGGGTCCGTGGTAGGCATGGCTCGTGGCGGGGCGGCGGGCGGGTAGCGCGGCGCGCCTGTGTAGTCTGCCTCAGCACCCGGCGGCCCGCCATCCCACGCGCCGCCCGCGCCTCCCGCACCGCGATACGAGGACATACTTATCAGAGTCCCCTCGCATAACCTGCAGCAGTTTGTAGGTGCGCACACACCTACAAACAGAACAACTTTTTGGTGTAGACAGCAGCTCTACATAGACTTCGCTCGAGATACACCCTCGCGCATCGATTACATTTTTCATGTTTCGTTGATAAATAATTTTTTGACGAGAAACAACAAATTACGTAATCCGAAGACGGAGCACAAAATGCACCGACAAAGCATGCGTTACATATACAGCTGACATGAAACAAGAGAAATATCAACAGAATACCTCGGTTACATGCTCACCTTTTTTCAAAATAGCTTTTCCTCAATAATTCAATTCAATAGAAAATGGCAGCGCACACATTCGCTACTCAATGGCCATAGACAATGTCCAAAATAGATATAGACTATAGACTTACAGTAAGACTATAGATAAGAAATCGATCGTTTTTTGTATTTTTGTATTTGTATTGATCGTCCAATTTGTTTTTGTTACGCATCTTTATTTGATTTGAAACCGTACGTAACGTATTTGTTACGTATATAAGTTGCTATAGGTACGATAATTGTTTTCCCCATTTTTTCATTAATTTCCCCGCCTTATTGGCACAAAGTGAAATGTATTCTAAATAAACACGCAAAGATAGTATAATTATTAGTAGGTAGAGATAGGCGATTCAAAATTGATAAATACCATGTAAATAATGAGTTTTTACTCGACTATTTATTTATCCAAAAATATGGATAGTACTCGAGTAAATTCGGATCTTTGCTGATTGTCTAAGGTCAATAGACGATCAAGACTATTCTATTGTGTAAGACACACGTATTAGTGTCTATGTGTCTATTGACTACATTGATATACGTATGATTGACTAGCAGTCGTGATGTCAAAGTGTCAAGTGTCAACAAATGTCAAAGTAAAGTAGTATCGCCGGCGCGCCAGTAGTTTTAACTGGAAACGTAATTGTATTTTAGTCATTATTTGCTACTATCTTATTGCTAGTGGAATCTCTTGTGGTTCAATTGTCGTCCATGAGTAAATCTAAAGTGTCAGCAGAATGGAAGAAGCGTGTGAAGTCGGAATACATGAGGCTCCGCCAAGTCAAGGTATGCTTAAACAAAGGTTTTACTATTTGTGTAATGTTCTTATAATTTCAAGAATCTAGAGCATGATACTATAAATGTTTCTATATCTGTCTTATATCATCTCATTGGTGCAAGTCCTGGTCAGGGTATCCTTAGGTCCTAGCCCTTGCCCAGGATCCGTTGGGTTTCATTGTAAATTCTCTCGCCTCGGTGGCCGAGTGGTCTCGGGTTCGATTCCTAGGTTGGGCAAAGTATTACTGGGTTTTTAGAAAAAACTCAGTAGTAGAAAGGAAGGAATTGTGGCTGGTATATAGGCTCATCCCCTATTACATGGGACCTATAACATAAATAGTGAAAAGTGTGTGTTACATTGTACAGTAGCATTAAGTGCCATAATTTGCACGTCTGACTTCAGAGATAAAAAGCGGTGATGTTATGTTATATTATGTTAATTACCAAAATATTTTTGTTTACAGCGCTTCAAGCGTGTAGACGAGGTGAAGGTGGCATGGGCCCGTAACCTCAGGATCATGTCCGAGTCCATAGAGGCTCAGGACTCTGAGAACAATGAGCGTGCAAGGAAACCATTCTGGCCACCACCAGCTACATTACCAAACCACGAAACCCTCATGAAGAGAGCTGAGGTCACTTACACTGATGGTAACTATTATACATCTAATATTGAACAGTACCTGTTTTGATTTGGTCTGTGTGAAAACTATTTATTGACTTATTTGTTTTATAATATAATAGTTATAACTAATTATTATGTTATTGTTTTCATTTTAACACTTGTTTAGTAATATGTAACTAAAGAATTGTATTGTGAACCTGATTGAAAAAGAGTTATCTATGGAGTTTCTTGCTCATTCTTCTCTATAGGAATCTATACCTTGGAATGAGCACATAAATTAACTTTTAAATATTTTGATGACATTCAAAAGTTTCGTCCTGGTCTATTTGAAATAAATGACTTTTGCCGGTATACTGAAAGTTTACTCGATTTTAAGTTGTGCGTAAATATTGTGCTATCTCTATCATTTTAAAAGGAATTTGTAGAGACAGAACTAAACTTAAGCACGACTTAAAATTGAGTAGCGTTTGAGTATTCCGACTTTAGACTTTGAATATAGTTTTGTGTGATAGATAATCATCTGCATTAAGATTAGCTCAATTCTAATCATTTAATAATTTTTCAACAGCCTCTGGAGTAGTAACAACACAACAAGTGCCAATCCGTATAATAAACTCGGTAAATCCAATACCGACTATGTATACCTGGGCTCCTACACAGAAGAACTTCATGGTGGAAGATGAGACAGTTCTCCACAACATTCCATACATGGGAGACGAGGTCCTGGATCAGGACGGTACATTCATCGAGGAGCTCATAAAGAACTACGACGGGAAAGTGCATGGTACATCTGCTTAACATCATTATACCTATGTTTGTGGACTGTGCCGTTTTGTGCATGAATAGAGCTGGAACCTTATCATTAGAACATGATGTGTACTGTTATGATGCACATCGTCCATCTTCATATGATACATGTTCATTTTGTTCGTATTCTTAGATGGTTTTCAAATGATGTGCTTTTCTCACTTATAATTTATTTAATAAACCTCTACACAGAAGCTTTTTTGACAATGATAAGACAAACAAATAAGTTAATTCCAGAAAGATTCCAAAACATTTTAAATGCAATTGCTCTATGAAACATGAGATGTTAAGAACATTTATTTTCAAATTGAAGTGATAGTTTCTGTGCTTATTTTAAACTAGCGACCCGCCCCGGCTTTGCACGGGTGCAATATGCATGTATTATACATACAAACCTTCCTTAAGAATCACTCTATCTATTAAAAAAACCGCATCAAAATCCGTTGCGTAGTTTTAAAGATCTAAGCATACATACGGACATACAGCGAAAGCGACTTTGTTTTATACAATGTATTGATGATAAGTAAACAGCAGAGGAGATAGAAAGGCTGAATGTAATTTATTGTGAAGACGAGGGCTCTGTCCACAGACTGTCACACGAATTTAATACACATTGGTGTGTGGTGCACACATCTATGCTTTTAGATATAAAAATATAGTAATATAAGAGCTTCTCAACCATAGACATGTATCCTACATTTCGTATAAAATCAAGAATTGATCAGCTAGCATAGCACTAAGCCAAAGAGGGAAATAGACTAGGAATATTTGTACATGTCTCTGGTTTTCTATAAACTGCCGTGCTAAAATATGGTCGCAATTAGTGTAGTGTACACCTCATAGGCCTATGCACTCACACAGTCACGCTTGTCGTGCTTCAGTCACACCACATTTGAACCTTGACATAGATAAATCTTTTAGATAAAACTTAACTTCAAATCCTGCATTCTTTGTCTAATAATGTCGATTCTTTGGTCTGTGACAAGCAAAAGAATTGGGAGATGAAAATGTACTTTTCCTCCATTTAACCTGAGTAACATCCAAAATTTAACAGTCAATAGAACATTAAGTCACATGTTCATGGTCCTAATTCCTGGATGTGAACAATTGGTCAAGCAAAGAGTGTAGAAATTTTTCTCAGTACCAGGTTCAGGAAGGAGAAAGAAAATAAGTAAGGAGAATGTACACTTTGCCATAGTTGTTACCTTATGTTATTCGTCTCATTGTAAAGTAATGGACCTATTACAAAATACTAGACAGAGACACATTTCCACACAATATCCATTTTGACAATTTTCAAACGGAAGTTTCATCTTACATCATCAAACCTTCTTCCCCAGGTGACAAAGAAGGTGGTTTCATAGACGACCAGTTGTTTGTGGACCTGGTGCACGCGCTGATGGCGTTCCAGACCAAGGAGGAGGTAGCTGAGGAACGCAGGGACAGAGAGGCTCGGAACTCTAAGGAGGAGAAGGAGAAAGAGAAAGAAGTAAATTGGCGTCATACTTATTATTTCTAAATTAACTAAAAATCGTGGGTTACTCACGTACTACCGCGTGCGCTTGTTATGAGGAACCCCTGAGAGGGGTCGCGGCGACTCCTCTGGGGTTCGAAACTAGTAGAGCTTTTCTCAGTATATTCACGTGAGTAACCCGCGATTTTTAGTTAATTTAGCATGTCTCACGATAGTTATTCAAATAACTTATTAGGATCTAATGCAAAAACTTTATTTATTAATTTTATACTATTGTAATACCTTAATTACAATAATATAAAATGCTGTTCTAAACTAACTAATCACACCATCCATAAAATATGAATGGAAAAAAGAGATTTTCGTAATAATACAAAAATAATCATCATAAACTAATAGTTAAATATTTTTACAATGTTACAGGCTAAAGAAAAAGCAGCTTCTGAACGGAAGGACAGAGAAGCTCGCAACTCCAAGGAGGATAAAGAGAAAGTAAGTATTTATCATAATCAACTACAGTTATACACTTATAAACCGAGAGTAATCTTATTGATTTTTATTTTGTCCAGGCACACTCAAGTAAGGATAAACCAGAAGATCGCAAAGACAGGGAAGCTCGGCACTCCAAAGAAGAGAAAGAGAAAGCAGTAAGTACAAACACATATTACTTCATGCATGTCATCATTAAATAGGTATTGAGGAGCGGGAGAGAGAGAGACTGCAGAACAGACTTGGAGAGAGAAGGAGGGAGATGGAGTTGGAAGGAGATGGAAGTAAGACTAGATACGTTATTGATACATGTATACTGAACAGGTACCAACAGTGATGCCCTTCCAGTCTAACGATGACTTAGCTGAGGAGCTTAAAGAGCCGGACACTCTGAAACCTACCATGGAAGAGGTAGAGGTGAGATTTTACATTGATTTTTAGTTTTATTGCTTTAAGTTTACCTACAAGGTGGATAGGTGACCTTATAAAGATAGCAGGGAGCTGCTGGATGCAGGATGCATCTGGAAGTCATTGAAACAGGCCTATGTTCAGCAGTGGACGATTTATGGCTGATGTGATGATTGCTTCAAGGTCCAAGGCAGGGAGTATATTGCCTGATGGCTCCACTCTAAAACAACGATGTAATCGTTTTGTCTTTTTCTAGAAAGATAAGGAGAAGGATAAAGAAAAAGAAACCCAGGAAAGTGAGACAGCGGTGCCCAATGACAAGCAGTTCCCGATATTTACGATATTCCAAGCTATCAGCATACAGTTCCCTGATAAGGGGACTGCTCAAGAGTTGAGAGAGAAGTAAGTACATTCCTTATTTTGATGAATAATAGTGTGCTATGTAGGTATGTCAAGGGCCATAAAGGAGACATGATACTCTTAATTAAGTGACACTTATTACACTAACTTA